TTGTGTGTATAACGTAATCCTGGATAACCAATATTGGATTTTTTGCCTTTTCTCTTAATAAAATTGATGAGATAGTTGAAAAAATTGATACTTTCGTTATATTTTTTGGGTGAGACAAAATTAAGACGTTTCAGGCCGTTTCCAAGGCATTTTTAATGCGAGACGGTCAACCTTTCAGTTACTACGTTTGATTAACCAAGATTTTTTTCATTCGTGTTCGGTTTCGTGAAAAGTTTTAAGAAAATAAAATGTAAGAAATCAATATTTTTGTTTTATGACAAAATGCTAGTATACAACTTCCATATATGAAAAATCACTAATCATATACCTTTCATGCAATTTTCTGTACATATGGAATTGCATGAAAAGTGTATGACTAGCATTTTTTCATATATGAAAATTGTATGGCTAGCTTTTTTTGGTCAAAACGGGATTGCAACTAATTGCAATTATCGGAAATTTTTCTGTGCAATTAATTGATTTTCATTTCTGACCAATTACAATAAATTGATTGCACTCTACCAAGCAATTGCAATTAATTTTATCAAACGCATTTGTTAGAAACAACCGCACATTTCTCTGAAAATAAATATTTTTCCAATTCATGAGACAGAAGTTTTGCTTAAAATATTTTCAGTACTGCAGAATATGCAATATTCTGATCTTCGACAATTTTCGCTGCAGCGAAACCTGGAAAGGCAGTTATTTCGGAAAATCAACAAAAAGTACAGAAAGCGAACTCGTGTCAAAATTGTTCAGACAAACGTGATGCTTTGTGCTTGCAGTTAATTTTTCAATTAAATGCGTTTTAAATTTTGGTTTTTCCAATTAATTGGTAATTGATTTTTAACAATCAAATTAATTGCAATTTAATTTTCAGTTTTCCGATTAGTTTTTGACATGCCCTGCTTCTGTACTTATATCACTTTCAGGGATGGGTTGATCTTTTTTAAAATCATGTACAACAGGTGGTTGTTCTAATGATGGAGGAACCACGAAGATTAACAAAAAACTCCCTCCCAATAGCCTAGCAGAATGTGCGATACGCCAGCATTAGCGCTGGGCGCCATAATAAACAGGCATTTTCATAAACAGCTCGTGTCATGGTTATGGCAAGCTGAATAGGCGCAACAGTCCAAAGGAATTTTTGTATGCTGATTTGGTATTGGGCCATTGTTAATTTGGGGCCCTTTGGTATATTGGACAGAATTAATTGCTGATAAATATTTGTTGTTCAAACAAAGCAGTACAGGAAAAATCTTAACTTTCAGCAGAATTTTTTTGTTGCCGTTTGCAAGAAAGAATTTTGCACCGACGTTCGATAAAGTTGACGCGATGTTTATTCTCGATTTTTTTTTGGTTCAAGCACAAATTGATTATTTACTCAGCCTAAAAATTGACAGATTTTTATACCGTCTGAGAAGTAGTGATATCTCCATATCAAAAAAGAAACCTTATGATAAGATAGTTTCGGGTTTTGATTGTTTTCAAATTAGCTTGCTGGAATTATCTTGGGAAAACAGAAACATACTACTTTTTTGGCTGAGATATTTGCAATTTTGAACTTTTAATTCTGATTGGATCTGCATCATTTGCCCTTTTCATTGCACAGGGGCTCCAATGGTTCATCATCTTTTTATAGCTTCGCCCTCACTACTAAACAAATTTTAGAAAAAAAATAACTAGAACAAATTTTACACAGACTAAAACGTCTTCGACTGAGAGCAAAAGAATGCAAGGCCGTCCTTTTCAAAACAAAGCTCTATTAGCAAGAGACTGACAGAACTGAAATTCAAGCGTTGATAAATATTTCTAGCAAAATATATTATTCTACATAAAACCAACATCAATAATTATTAATTACAAATGGATTATAATAGTACTTTCGTGTTTTCGTGTATAGCAAATTTTTCAAATAGTTTTTTGATTGAATTAATCAGTTTCATTATTATCATAACCAAATAGCCCGGGATGACCAAAAATACTAGTCATACAATTTCCATATATGGAAAAATGCTAGTCATACACTTTTCATGCAATTCCATACGCACAGAAAATTGCATGAAAGGTCTATGATTAGTATTTTTTTCATATATGGAAATTGTATGACTAGCATTTTTCCATAAACCAAAGTATTGATTTTTTACATTTTAATTTCTCAAAATTTTGTGGTTGTGTTCGTAACCGAACACAAATGACATAAACCTTGATTACTCAAACGTAGTAACCAACGGTTTGGCCTTCTCGCATTGAAAATGCATTGGAAACAGCCTGATATGTGTTACTTCTGTCTCAGACAAACAATATAACGAAAGTATTGAACTTTTAAATTTTGGCAATAATTTTCAAAGATGATTTTTTCTAAAATTTGAATTTTTAAATTACCAAACATTGATCAAGGAATTCAAAAACATGTCATACAAAAGAACGAGGAGTTTTAAGCGTTTTTGAAAAAAGTTATGAAGAGAAAAGGAAAAAAAATCTAATATTAGTATATCCAGGACTACGTTATACACACAAAAAATTAAATTTTGCATGCAAAATTTTTAATTCAAAAAATGTTTGTTTGAATACGAAAATCAATTTGCGGTTGAAAAAAAAAACATGAAAAAATTTTTGTGGGCAATTTCAAAAATACTTAGAAAAATTTTTGTCGTCGCCATCAAAAAATGCTAGTCATACAATTTCCATATATGGAAATTGTATGACTAGTGTTTTTTTTCAGAAAACAAAAATAAAAAAAGTCAAAGTTTTCAGTCGTAGCAGCCCAAAAAAACGCTTAAATGCGTTGCCAGCAGTTGAATTGATTGTTCAAAGCTTTTTTTTTCACAAAAAAATTAAAAAAAAAAATTCTAATCATACAATTTCCATATATGGAAATTGTATGGTTAGCATTTTTTTTTCATACCATTTTTTTCTTTGATTTATGAAGAGACACCAATTTCGATACCAAAACAACTATAAAATACCTTTAAAATTCGATTAAACTCATTTTGCAAAAATGCATGAAATTTGTATGACTAGCATTTTTCCATAGACTAAGTGTATGAAATTGTATGATTAGCATTTTCGGTCTATGGAGGTCAACCCGGGAGAAGTTATGACGATTAATTATGGCAAATTTTCATTGAACTATCATTCAATATTGAATACGTTTTGATTGTAGTTAATTATTGTTAAGTTTTACTGTGTTTTTGTTCTAAAAAAATGTCTTTTCTAGGTAGTCAACATAAAAATTCAAACTTATAGAGAAACAAATGATACTTACTTTTTTTATTGAGTTTGAACATTTTGACCAGTTGTAGAAAAATCAAACGAAATAAAAACAAGTTTAGTGTGTTTTTGTTCAGAATTATGGTATAATAAAAAGAAAACACTTAAAATTTTTTGTAACGATGCTTTTTGATTAGACAGGCCGTTTTTTCGAACTGTATTTGTGGAATCCGGAATAGTTTGCGGAATCCACAATTAAATAACAGAATATATGTATGCTAATATTGAGCTGTTGCGTATTCTTCAACTGTGTGAGCAGAATCCGCAATAGTTTAGTATAGTTGTATAGTATATTTATAGCACAACTGAGATTTTGTTAAACTCACAACTGTAAGCGAAATCTGCAAATTGTAAGCGGAAACCTTTTCTTGTTTGCAGGTTCCAGTAGCATAAATAACGTAAGATAGTTACATCTTGAAATTGAATTTTAAAATTAAGTTTATATTTTTGGGTCATCAGCAAGACTACAACACAAAACTCAATATCAGCAATATTAAAGAATAATCAGACTAAGTGTTGCAGTTCGTTTTTACTTGGCTCACGCTAATTTATCATATCCTTTTCTTTTCAACCTTCTATCAATTTTTTAATTAAATGGAGAAATTTTGGTCACTTTTTCTCATTACTTTGGGCTTTTTCAGTTGTTTGAACAATGTATTTCGATAAAAAAAACCTTTAAAGAAAAATGACTTATTTTTGTTTTCAATAGAACTAGGGCAATGAAAGTTGAACATATATGCCATATGTTTTCCAAAAACCGAAATAACTTTATTTTAAAAAAATTTTCTAAACGCACAATCAACATTTTTTCCTTTTCTCGTCAAAAGGATCAAAACATCGAAGTTTTCAAGTATTAGATTCCGTGAAATGAGTACAAAAATTTTCTTATCACTTATGGATGTGATAAAATGATTTTTGTTTTTAGATGTAATTAACTGAAATTTTTTCTTTCATAACATGGTGGAACATATTTTTTTTCACATTTTCAGCTATAAGGACTTTTTTTGATCATTCTTGAGTAAACTTAACTTTGAAAGATAAAAACAACCAATATTTTTCTCTTAACAAAATATTTTAGTTTTTCATCAATAAAATTTAAAAATTTGATCTGAAAACCGTTTTTGGTTTTAGTTTATTCAGAAAGACTACAAGAAGATATATATTAGTTAAAGAACTATGATACGCTGAGATGACTTAAGTTGCAGAAGATTTAGTTCTGAACAATTAAAAAGAGTCTCTGATGTTTTTTCAGGTAATTTATTTTTTCCTGATGATTTTTTCTGCGCACATGAAAGTTTTTTTTTGGCATTTTTGAGTAAAACTTTTCATTTGTTCATTTTTAATAAAACAAAAATTTTAGTTACAGGAACTCCGGTCGCTTTTTATTTGTTTCAAATCGAACTCGTTTTCAATCAATTTTTCCCAAAGTTTTCCAGTACTAAATACTACCTTGCAATTCGTATATATAAATCTACATATTGGCCAAAAGTGAGATTGCTCCAGTTATAAATTTACGAAATTAGTTCTAAATAAATACTTTGCAATTTTAAATAACGTTCGAGATCATATTTTTCGACGTTTTCTTTTATTGGACTGGGCTCATCATCTTTGTCACTTTTCAAGTCTCGAATGATAATCACGGGTTTAGCATCAGCTCATTTCAAGAACAATGCTTGAAATCTGCTCTAAATTTCTTTCCGAAAAGGAAATACAAGTAAAAGTTGCACCCATTTGTCAGCGATGACAAAATCGAATTGACTTTGTCGCGCAGGTCGAACACAGCTTGGTCGTAATCGGTCTCGACTTCTGAAGAAAAATTCAGTCTGTATAGGGCTACACCTGTTATTCTCAAAGCACAGAATAGCACACAAACTGCTATCATTTGTCTAGTCATCTCGGTTTCAAGTTTAGTCCTCGGAGAAGTTTTTTTGGTTCTGCTGATTTGGGGCACGCTTTTTTCTCTTTTTTGCATCGAATCGAAGCTTGATTGCTGTAATTGTTGTGCACATCATTACGGTTAAAATTGGCACAATTATAACCAGTACTATAGAGACGGGCAACCGGATTTTGAAGTATAGAAACTTGTTTATGATTTCGAAGTTTGACACGCGGCATACATTTTTTGTTTCATCCAAGTCGAATACAAACAAAACAGGTGACAGCACCAATGCGAGGAAAGCATACACAGAAAGTGTTGCGATCAAGCAAACTTTGGGTTTTCCGCACTCTCGATATTTGAAGGGAAAGGTAACACTTATGCATTTGTCGACACAAAACAAAGCGGTCAAGTAAAAAGAAGACACTGTGGTCAGATTGGATATAAAAGTATAAACTGCACAAACTCTGCCACTTAACAATTTAAGGTTTAACTGCAGACTAGGAAGCAACTCGTCAATGACTCCGTCAAAAAAGCTACTCTGGAAGTCTGCCAGCGCTAAACTGAACATGAATGCAGCGCCAGATGAGAGATTTTTCCATTTTGATATTATCAGCATCACAAAAAAATTCCCAAGGCAGCTCAGAAACGACAAAATTATGTTCACAACTTCCATCGAGAAGACAAAATGAGCTGTTATTGGGTAAAACAATTTCCAAGAATGATCTTGCGCTTGGTCCTCAGTGTAGTCATCAGAAGATGTCTAAAGCACAAAACGGTTTTTAATTATAATTTATAAATCCCAATTATAAACTTTCGAGTTGTTGTTTGAGCTAAAATTGAAGCATTGAGTTTGTAAATGGACAAACTGAGGATTTTCTGCTGTAGACATATTCATGGAGAATTTTTAAAATGTCGATGAATTTAAATTAAATTTGAAAAACATGTAAAATAGCTTTATACAGGGGCGTGTTTAGGGGGGGGGGGGCTTCCCCTTTCAGGAGGTCGACCCCATGCCGACCCGAAGTACTATTTTGAGATATTCATTTTTGGCTGACGGACCCCAAAATTTTTCTAATGGCGAATTTTGGGAGGATGGGGTTTCTAGGCCAAATTTTCCAAAAAGTGCCTAGAAACGCTATGGCCTGCTTTTTCAAAACTTTGCCTGCCTCTCAAAAGTTTTTGCCCATTCAGGGTCTTTTCAGTGCTTTGGATGAGCTCTCATTTTGGTCTACCCAAAAAAACAGTAGACATAATTTTCGCCCCCTCGAGGAAATCCTAGATCCACCACTGGCTATAAAGGAGTTGTTAATATTTCAAAATTTCGAGGAAACTCAAAAAAAATTGTGCTCTGAGCAGAGGCGGATTTAGGGGGGAGGTGGGTGGAGGCTTTTTTTGCCCTTCAGGGAGTCGACCCCCTGCCAACCCAAAGGGTCCCCCCTTTAGTATTTTTCGAAAAATCCATTTTTGGCCGACCGACTCTAAAATTTTCCTAAAGGCGCCTTTGGCGCCAATATATAATAACTTTGAGGGGGAGCGCGCGCCAGAAAAAAACGCAATTTTTTTGTCAAAATTTTCCAAAAAGTGCATAAAAACGGCTTTTTTGACCTGTTTTTTCAGAAATTTGCCTTCGGCGCGAAAAATTTGGCCAAAACAGCGTCTTTTTAGTGCTTTAGGAGAGCTCGAAAAATCAATTTGGTCGACCTAAAAAAAGGTCGTCAAAATTTTTGAAAACATTTTTAAAATCCGACCCACCCCCTCGAGAAAATCCTTGATCCGCCCCTGGCTCTGAGTGATCGGTGTGTTTTTTTAAGCAAAATTTGTTTTTTTTTAATCAGGCTTTTTCACGGTTTTTTGATTTTTTTTGAAAAGCATTGATTATCTAAGCTGAACAAAAAGCCTAAAGTTCACTAGTGACAAATTGAAAAAAAAAATTGAGAGGCTTCAATGTTTTAATTTTGGCCAACTTGAGATTTTTCATTTTTATTTTTGTTTACGGAATGTTTTCGCTCGGTGTGGTTTTTTATTCAGTCAATTTTCGCCGATCGAATTAATTGTTTTCGAAAAAACAATTTTTTATGCCCCATTGAAGATATCAACTTCCTGAATTCAAAATAAAAAGATATTTTACCTTTGAATATTTTACCTTTGAATAAAACTTTACTGAGATGCGGGTAGTGCATTCAACTAATTCTGCGCCAAATATTATCAAGTGCTCTTATATTTTCATTTTATTGATCAATAAATATATTGATTTTTTGAGCTCACTTTTTTATGTCATTGAATTTCAGTAACTGGATGTTTACGGACAATGCGTCAAAACTTGTCAGTTCTGGAAAAACTAAAAGAGTTTGATTCAATAAATAATGCGCGTTTTTGGGCAAAAAAAGGATTTTCTTTTTTGGACGGTATCAGCAGAATATTTGTACTTACCAAGTTTAGGATGTCCATTACCACTACTTTGTGTCTTTTTTGCCGTTTGGACTTTTATTACAGGATTTTGATGTTTATCACGGATGGAAGAGAACAAAAAGTGTTTACTAGAGAAACTAATCCAAGGCTACTGGAAATCAACAAATTTTAGGCAAAAATGATGTGACCTAGCCTTGTGGTTATGTTTTTATTAGTTTTTTCTAATTAAGATTTAAAAATATCCCTCTTTATGGAGCTGACTAATAGCAAATCGATCAAATAGTACGGCTCAGATGACAATAAATAAGAGATTTTGATTGTTACTAAAACTTGAGTTTTATTGACAACTTGAATTGGCTTTTGAAAAAAATAATTGTTGAATCAAATAATTTTTAAATACGGAATCAAACTTTTTTTCTTAAAATAATCTACCATAGAGTGCAAATGATAACAAAATGAAGATGTGTCAATAAAAGTTTAGTATTATTGACAAAATAAATAGATCTGATTCAACCTGACCCAATAACTTCCGATATCACTTAGATAGCATGACTTTTTTTCCTAAACTCCAAACATTTGTTTCAATTTTATTAAGGTAAGTACTTCAGAGTACAAATGATAACAAACTGAAGATGCTTGTCAGAAAACATCAAATTTTTGACAATTCAAATTGACTTTTCGAGGTGACTAATGCTAACTTTAATAACTTGTGAGTTCACTTAGGTAAGTATTGTGATTAAAATGATAACAAACAGAAAATGTTTGTCAAAAAACTTCAGAGTTACTGATATTTTAAATTGACATTGCAAATGACTAATGCTGACTCATATAATTTGTGAGCGCACTTAAATAGCCACATTTTTTTCATAAGCTACACGCTTTTGCTTCAAACAGTTAAACAGCATTGACTTCAAAGTCAAATTTTCCGAAGACGATGATTTTCATCTGATTTTATCCAATCTCTATTCCGTTTTCGCTCGCATCTTCTTTCTGTGAGAACTTTATTGCACCAATGGCCCTTTTCGAAAAAAATGTTTGCTGGGTCAAAACTTGAAAAAGATGTTTGCTGGTTCAAAGTAACTGATACAATGGCAAAATGTTCGCACCAGCAAAAATTCGGAAAAAAATGTGCAAACTGTGTACATATCGCTTTCATTTAAGCTTAGCTGCCCAGCTTAGCTGTTTCTCAAGCAATAAATTTTCCGTGCAATCGGATCATCATAACTTCGAAATTGTCCCGAGTTCGACATAACCATTTTACATGTTTTTCTGCCAAAGCATTCAGAATATAGTCAAGCATTAGTCGGATGAATCAAATACTGACACTACAGAAACGTTTTAGTCCATTATACCAAAACCCCTATGAACACAACTGAAACTCTCCTGAGTGAGTTTATGTCCGGGGTGGCTCACTCGTACAGTAATTTCAGATAAGGTACACCGTCTCTTATATCTCCTAGTCTCAATATATCTAGTGTATTCTGTTATTTGCGAGATAAGATATCAAGAACTGTTCTGAAGGAAAACGACTGCTTGCTAAATTATATTTTTTCTGTTCTGTCGCTGAAACTATTAATAGTTTCGGCTTTACAATTTACAGTACTTGTTAGTTATGGATCATGATTGGTTAGTTAGAAATATTTTATAGAGATTGTTTTGTCAATCATATAACTGGATATAAATACTAGTTTTAAACTGGTTCCATTAATCCGGGGCTAAAAGAGCTTTTAAAATTTCAATGTCTATGGTAGTGAAGGATGGATTGCGAGGTTATTTGGTTGTTAGAGTAGATTTCCGTTGACGCAAGGACTGCGTGAATGAAGAAAACGAAACAGTTGCTCGTGTTGTGGAGTAGTTGTCTTCATGGAGAGAAGGGATACAGTCGCTCATTTTTCAGAAGTGGGTCTCGTGTATTTGGATCGTGTTGATTGATCCTGTTAGCGTTTCAGATTTATGCAATGATGTGTTAATTTCTTCAAGTTAGAGCGACATTGCGTGCTTTTTCAACTGTTCATCAAAAAGCGGGAAGGGGTTTGACTTCGCCGTAAAAAACGCCTAATGACCAGAACCGGGTCGCCAATGTTCTTTTTCAATGGGTAGCTTTCCTACGATGTTGGGTCCAAACTATAAATCCTGTGAGGGTTAAGATTTCGGCAACAAACCAATTGATTTGCCCTTCTACAGTCGGAGTGTCATCAATTTTTCATCTACTTTCGCTGTTCGTTTCTTTTTCTCTTAGAAATACTTTTACTTTGCATATTTATAGTCACATTTTGTTAGTGGTATCAGTTTCAGTCATGATTTTTTTATACGGTTTGGCAAAAGCGTTTTGTTCAGTTTCAGTTATTTTGAACATTTGCGCGGGCGATGAGGTTGGCTATAGAGCATGCTCAGGCTGTCCTTGACTGGTGAAATAGGTCAGCTGTGGGAGTATGATTTTACCGTCTCTTTGAGCAGTCTCTTTTTGTGTTCTAATTTTTGTTCTTTTTGGCAGCTGTTAATCTTTTTTGTCTTTTGGTTGTGTCCTATTATCAAAAACAGATTTTTGTGTTTGATGTTTTTCTGTTGTGTTTCAATTGGTTTTCATAAAACTTGAAAGTGGGTTTTCAAAGATTATTTTATCCAGTTTTAATCTGAGTTTAATCTGGTTTGGGAACCGAGGGACTTTTTCGGGAACCGGGACTGAGTTACGGGATTAGGAACTGTGTATGAGAGGCAGTTGGATGACTTAGTTATATGTATACGTGTGAGTTAGTTTCGTTTTCAAGATAACTTCATGCGAGCAGTGAAAATCTCGTTGGTTTGGTGTGAGAAAATTAAATGATGGTGAAAACTGATTGAAGTTGTCAAAAAATGTTCATAAATAAGCTTTAGTGTTTGTGCATGATCTCTGATGAGGCTGAAGTTTTTATTTATGCTGTCAAGATGAAAATCATCAACTGATTTGATGAAGGAAATGTCAGTTAGTTGTATGATGATGTCAGGGTCATCTTCATATGAGTAATTTTCCTTATATCTAATTATAGTGTGGTAATAGTGGTTAATAGAAAATCTGTTAGCTTTTTGGGCAATAAATCCGTTTAGTGTTTCATTTAAGCCTATGGTGGTGAGTTGATTATGGTGGTGAGTTGACATTAAGCTAGAGTGCAGTAGTTACTTGTTGAACGAGAGAGTCCAAAAGTTCCTGATCAGTGTGGTTGTTCATTAAGGGTTTTCTTACTAGGTTATGGTGGTGAGTTGACATTAAGCTGGAGTGCAGTAGTTATTTGTTGAATGAGAAAGTCCAAAAGTTCCTGATCAGTGTGGTTGTTCATTAAGGGTTTTCTTACTAGGTTAGAGAAGTTATAATAGCAAGACCATGATAGTGTTGGGAGAAGTGAATATTCATCGACCTATTGTGCGCGTTTGGCTTAATTTTTTCTATTCTAATAGGTGTATTTAACGAGGAATGGTAGAATTTTTATTAGGAATCCTGGTGTGTTAGTATGATGTGGGTAGTGGAAATAACGTTGAAATGATTGTGGCTGCGCAATGAGAAACTGTGTTGTGACGTTAGGGTGTTTTCGTTTCAAAAAAATTTTGTGTGCAAGTGAATATGCAAAATGGACAGAATGAATTAGAAGACTCTTAGGTGGAGGCTAAATTGGTTACTTAATGAAATGTTAATTGATTTTTTGTGTCATGATTTTGTTGTTGTTGGTTCATAAATTCATCTAAATTATGCTCGAGTTGATCGTCAGTGATAGGGCTTGTAACATTGGCGTCCCTACAGGAAAGAGGCGATAGAATAAGGGTAGCGTCAAGGTGCGAAGAAGGTTTAAGAGAGGGCTCAACAGGGGTAGGGGGAGTTATGAGTTGAAAAGGTGGATGGGAAAAATTAGTGGGTCTGGGTTCAGAGTCGAGGAATTCAGAGGGGCTTTCAAAATCGGAACTATTAATTTGGAGATGGTAATCAAAAGTGTTTGAGTTGAGTTATCTGCGTCCATGCGAGTTGACTTTTAATAAAAACTGGGAGGGGGAAGAGGCGAGGTCTGAAAATGAGTTGAGGGAATTGTGGCAATGGAGATTGATTGGATAGTAGAGGGAAGGATTGAGGGATCCAACTTGTCGGCTCAATTTGTGCTAAAAAGGTAATTGTTTTGAGAAGGAAAGCTTAAGCTGTGTGGTTGGTCTACAATTTGTTCAAATGTATCGTCTTCAGTTAGTTGTTGCAGTGCTATATGAGAAATAGGGCTACGTTTCAAGTTATTAGTATGTATTGGTCGCTCGGAGGTCGAAAGTTTTTTCTATAGCTTTGTTGTACAAATAATGAAGCATGGTCATTTTGTAAACTGTTGTCTTGTGGAGTATCATAAGCGTTTGCTTTTTTAGATATTTTTTTATTGTTTTCACTGATTTCTACGTCAAGACGGTCTTTATCAATTGAGGTGGAAAATTGTCCGAAAAGTCCCACAATTAAAATGAGTGCTACGCTACGTTGTCTATTTTTTGTATGTGTTGCGCTTGTTTTATAAATTCAATTTCATAGTGAAAAAAAACAATCGTTTAAAAATAATCAAAGCGTAAAATGTATATTCAATCTTTCTAAGATATAGTATGCCCATCCAAGAAACGCTAGGAGTTTGTTTTTGATGTGTAAAAAACTAAAAATTTTGATAGAAAAAATATCTTGTGGACGATATTTTTCTCCATTTAGATTTATGTAGTTTTTAAGGTCTTTAAAATATCCGCTGTTTTGATCATTTGATTTTCTCTGGGTTGTATCCATTTTAGTGAGAAGTTTTTGAAATTGTTGCGTTCTATCGTGATGATGCAAATCTGATTTTGAATACATGCCTGATGATTGTAGGTCTATGTTTGGGTTAGGAGCAATTGACGTTAGGCTGTACTAAACTGTGGCTATTTTGGGATGGCACAGTCTGTATTCATCTGTATCCTAAAAATGTGTTCGAGTTGATAGGGTACCTACAAATTGTACTTTAACCTTACGAAATATTGGTATGCATTGGTAGCATCTATGTCTCCAAAAACGTAGAGTGATGAGAGTTTTTATTGCAGGTGAAATAGCAAAGAATATTTCCAACAAAGACTATGAAGTTAGAGCGCTTGCCTGACAAAAGATATCCTGCATAACGTATTTTGAGTGCTGCTAATGCGAGAGATTGTAATGTTTATATCGGTTCTAAATGACATAGGCGATGGAATGTTTCTTATTCGGAAATTGACATTTATTGAAAAACTCTTTTCATTGTGTAATCTATTTTCATATCGAGGTGAATATCATAGTGAATTGCACTAAAGTGTATATTATTCATGGCTGAAAGCTCTTGTAATCCTGTATTGTCTTTGTTTTCTGGGCGAACTTTTCCTTCAATGTTTCCGTTATTTTTTATAAAGTGTTATTGTGATGAGAGACTTTTTGTCTTCTCTACTTTGATTTGATTCGTGCATGTCAAGAATTAGTTTGCCTCTTTTGATGTCGAAATAATTTTTGTGTTCGACAAGAACTTTTGAGCATTGTGCTCGGAAAAGGGGTTTGGGGTATTTGCATGCTATTTCAGTTTCAGGGAAGATCGGAAAACAGGTTAATTAATTTTCTTTGCTTTGTATGTTCTCATATTTATTTGGATATGATTTTGTTTGTTCAGGGTTTAACTTATTAGGGGGTATGGATTCAATAAATTGTTTTGTGAAGTTTTTAAAATTTTTTAAAAGTTTTTTGAGAAACCTTATGATTCCTGCGTGAATTTTAGCTATTTGGATTATGGTTTATGTGTCTCCAGGGAACCAAACTATGGTTTCCTGTGTTTGCGTAGTGTGATCGCAATATCCTTGATCCTTTTTTACAAAGTGAGCGAATGCCTTGTTATAATTTTAGGTCGTTTTTTAAATCTGGTATTAATTGTACTTTTTCTAGTTGAATTTTACAATCGAAAAACTTGATTTCTTGGTAGCCTGATTTTTTTTTGTTTCTGCTTTAAAATTTGACGGATTTTTGATTCCAATATGAAGTTTCCAATTTTTGTCGTGTAAGTCATAAGTTAAACGTCCGTGAGCGCCATGATACGGAAATTTATCGCATAGTTGCACATGACCTTGATAGAGTTCAAGTTGTGCTTGATTGGCAGAGTTTGGAAAAACTTGATAATTTACTAGTTTACGATTTTCGTTTTTGTTTGTATTTGTTTTCAAATGTTTGAGTTCATTTTTACAATCTTCAGGGTCAAGGTGTAATAGTCTTTCTAACTTACTTTGGTAAAAAGATTCATGGTTGAGTCTGTTTTTGTTTCCACATAGAAGAAATAAGACTATAATTTGCGGTGTGTTTTGCAATTGCGGCTAGATATGAAGTTCAGACGTTCATAGAGCTGGTATTCTTCGCAAACATGCCACCTCAGAAAACATGCCTTCCCGGGATAATATAAGAAACCAAAGTTTTGAGCCGTTTAAGCTGCTTTTAATATGGCTTGAGAGGTTTGGGCGGTTTTTTCAATTTCAGCAGTTTTTCAGGGGTTGGGCGTAATAGGCTTAAAAATACTCGACGTTTTTTCATGTAATCTGGAGTGATTATAATCAGGAGCGGGTATGGGAGGGGGTGGGGGTGCCGACGTTTCTTTTCAGGAATTCGATCCCCTGCCGACCCAAAGGTTCCCACCTTTGTACTTTTTTGAGATACCCATTTTTGGTGACGGACCCTAAGATTTGTCTGAAGACGCTTGCGGCACCAATAGGTACTAGTTTTGAGGGGGGAGTAGGTGCCAAAAAAAAACGCATTTTTTTGGTCAAAGTTTTCTAAAAAATGCCTAAAAATGCCTTTTTTGAACTGTTTTTTCGACATTTCGCCTGCGGCGCATAAATTTTTGTCAAAATGGTGTCTTTACATTGATTTACGAGAGCTCAGATAAATCAATTAAGTGGACCTAAAAAAAAGATCTCGAGAAAATCCTTTTTATAGTATAATCTCGACCCGAAAGCAATTTTTGCTCAAGTCAAATTAATTTCTTGCCAAAATATTTAATTACACTTTAACTTTTCTATTAAAAAAAAAACATGATACTCATTCCTGAAAAATTTGGACAAATTCAAACATTTTTCTGACTGACGATTCTAGGAATCTGAGTTTTATTTGCAGTATTATTAATCGGCTTATAGCTCAAGGGCTTCAAATTACTTTTCGGACTCGGCGTTTTGATTGGCTCTGGAGTTTTTATCGATGATGATGACAACCGTGAACTTGGTAGCGGAAGTTTCGATTCCGAGTGAAGTTTCAGATCCGTGTCATTAGTATTCGAACTCTTTCGGGACGGAATTTTACTTTTAGGCACCGGTGATTCGGAGATCTTTTGATCAGAAATTAGTTCATAAGAAGAATAAATGTTTGTAGCGAGTGATAACTTAGGAGGTGTTTCGGATCCAGATCCGAACGCACGTGGGATCCGAGAGCCTTTCGGCGACTGTGACTCTGGTGATGCTTTTGTTATTGGTGTTGGTTTCTTGTCTTGTGCATTTCCGATTCCCGATGAAATGGAAGTTGATGTTTTGAGTTTGGGTATTTTGCTTTGCGGCTTTTCCGATAACGGCAATTGTTGCTCTGTATTCGCTGTCAATAAAGTAACTGGTCGCTGTTTGTTTTTAGGATTGGTAGTCGAATTTGCATTTAAGTCGCTCTGTTCTGATATATTATTTTCATTGTTCTTTGAAAATTCTGATGGTTTAATTTGATTTTGATTCTCTTCAGTGTTGTGGTGATGTATGTTTACTGGGACGTCGTTTTCTGCTGGTGATAATGTAGGTATTTCGTCTTGAATTACACAATCAAAGTCTTTCTTTTCGGATTTTTCGGTTGCATCAATTTGATCTGATTTGATTTGTTGCAGTTCGCAGTTTTTCTCAATCGATGATTCATTGTTTTCTAAGATGCAGTTGGGTTGTTGTTTGTCGGAGTCAGGGGTTAGACTTGCAGATGATAATGAATCGCATGAATCTACCACCTGGAACAAAAAACGAACGTTTAAGTTAAAAGAAAATAGAATTATAAGCCAGGTTAATTGAGATCAGTAACATGGTTTTCAAGTGAACATTTTCTCAAGGGAATCAAAACCGTTTTGGGGTAAAAAAAATGAAAATCGAAATTGGAGTTGTTTTTAGGCTAAATTTGATGAGCGGGGTACATTTGAGGTCTGAGAACTACTTAGGTCATGGCAAAAAGAGGTTCAAAATAAAAACAAAAAAATTTGCATCAAACTAAACCAAATTGTGAAATCATGGCTTATATATCTCACACAATGTCAAGAGAAGATAGTTTCCATAAACATAAAGCATCATTCAAACTTGATATTAATTATTTTTGGTCAATGATTCAGCTGCCTATTTGTGGTATTAAATAGTTGCAATTAGCGGATGACGGGCATTCAATCTAGCTACTCACTTAGTTATTGTTCTGAAATGCAAAACACCAGGTGATTAACTAATCAATGTTAACCAGTAATCAATAGTGCAGGTCATGAAACGAAGCTAAAGAAACGGAAGATAAAAAAAGAGAAGATGGCTTTAAACAAACGCGGATCTAATGTATTCTTGAAGAGAAATTTAGCAAAATCTACCTTTTTTTTAGATCGCCCACACATTGGTTTTCCGTTTTACCAGCTCTCCCAAAACGCTATAAAAATCCTTTTTATAGAAAATTTTGGCAAATTAAAAAAAAACTGTTCAAAAACCACGTTTTTATTCAATTTTTAGAAAGTTTTGACCAAATAATCGTATTTTATTGGCGTGCCAGACCCCCTTAAATTTATTGTATATTGGCGTCAAATTTTTTGGGTCAGTCAGCTAAAATGAAAGTCGTAACTTTGGATGGTCAATGGGTCGAACCCTGGAAGAAAGGCGTCCCACACCATCCCCCTCCCTTAAACTGCAAATGGCTTTATTATGTAAAATAACATGCAATAGATATCTTGACAACAAGTAAAACAAGTATTATTGCACGTGTAAACAAAAATATATTGATTGAACGTTTTACTGAGACTGAAATCTGATTAGCCATCTTCCCACTTAGGGGGTTGAGCGTCAAACCTTTTTTTGGAACATGATGAGGAAATTGCTTTCTAACAATTCGATAAAAAGTAAAACGGCAAATTTTTGTCGATAGAAGATAACATCACTGAAAAAAGAAATTAGAAAGTTTTCTTACATCTTGTGGACTGGGCGGAGTCTGGGGTTCGATCTCGCTTCTTCTGGTCCGTGAAGGTGACCTTGGAGCGTGTTTGTGTTTGGGAGCTACAGCTAGCTTTGACTTGGCAGCCGCGTGGTCCAATTTGGCCCCAGAAGAAGGCGTGGTGGCTATATCCAGGGGTTCCAGGTCAACTGGGTCATCGGTTTGATTGACCTCCACTGTAAATCAATTGTAATTTAGTGCTATTTATAAATCACAGTTTTATTACACGTATTCTCTAAACTATTGTAGCTAGTATGTTTTTCCAATTGCCGGGTAGATTATATTAAAAAAAAACAATTCAGTTTATTTTGAAATATATTATAAAATAATTGGCACTGTAAAAAGAAAAATCAAACGCATTGTACTAACGCATATTGCGGAAAAGCTACTTGACCTGTTTATTCTATGTCGTATCAGATGGCCAAAACGAACACTCAAAAGATAAAATATTGACTAAAAAAGCAACATAGTTAAACTTACTGGCGCCGCGACAACTGAGAACACGTTACAAGTGGGGACAAGTAACAACTAGGAAAAAAGCATCGAATACTTAGTCCGAATCGCTCTGACGCGCTTATTTTCGACACAAGTGCTAAGCTATTGTGCATAAATTTATTGGTACTGCGACAACTGGCAAGAAAAGACAACTCGCAAAGTTTAAGAAAAGCGACAACTCGCAAGTTTCTGAAGCTAATTGGAAATTTTATATTCTCGGCTTAAGCTCACCGGCTCTAAACTTCGTATAAAGTCCTACCCTCTGTTGGCAAGCTCTCAACACGTTAGCGCGGTGAGTATATTGTGCGTTGTCTTTTAATGCGAGTTGTCTTTTCTTGTGAGTTGTCGCATTACGAAATTTATTGTTCAATACCATTGAAAAAATGGTTTTTAAAATGCTCATAACTTATCCCAATTTGAAAAAATTCTCATTTTTCTTTTAGCCCTGAGATATAAATGGGGCTGTTAGTTTTACATTATTCGAGTTCTTTTTCTTACCTGTTGGTGAATGTTGATTTGAATTGCCTTTGACATCTTTCTTTTCTTTGCTCTTCTCTCTCTTGTCCTTTTTCTTTTCTTTTTTGTTTGCCTTTGTCTGGGAGTTGTTAGGCTCTTCTGCTGTCGCTGTGGCGTCTTCCTTAGTCTCGCCTGATGGTTTGTCAGCATGGAAAACTGCAGTCTTGAATCGGGAGAAGAGACCCTTCTTCTTTTCTACAACAAAAGAACTCATAAAAATTGCTGATTTCTGACACTTATGTAACCTCCATCAAGTTTATCTATTACGCAAGGGGAAGTCGGAAATTTCCTTTTTTGCTCTGATGCGAAAATTGTTCCGACTTTTGAAAACGAAGATGGAATGCTCGGTGTGGTTTTTGTTTGAGCCGATTTTTTTTTCGAATTTTTTTCAATCTGAAAAATATCGACACGACATCTTGATCTCGAATTCTAAAAAGATTTCAGCTTCAGTCATTTTTGTGAAGTTGTGGAGTTTTTAAAATGGCCAACTTGACAAACTTAGGACAATTCACGCTCGATATATATCGTGTTTAATAATCCAATTTATTGCGGCACTTCAATTGTTTTTTTTTTCAACTTCTCAGCCGGGTGTAAAAAAAGTTCCACGGACATAAGAGGGTAGTAAACAATTCCAAGGCCTCATCCTGATAGGAACAGTCTCAGGGGCGGATTTAGGGGGGGGGGGCGGGGGGGGGGGCGGACGCTTCTCTTCCTCAGGGATTCGACATCCTGCCGACCCAAAGGGTCCCCGTTTTGGTACTTTTTAAGAAATCCACTTTTGGCCGACCGACCCTAAAACTTTTCTAAAGGCGCCTTTGGCGCCAATATTTACTAATTTTGAGAGGGGAGCGCGCGCCGAAAAAACGCAATTTTTTGGTCAAAATTTTCCAAAAAGTGCCTAAAAACGCCTTTTTTGAGGTTTTTTTTAAAAATGTGCCTGCGGCGCAGAAAATTTTGCCAAAATAGGGGCAAAACAGTGCTTTGGGAGGGCTAAAAAAATCAATTTGGTCGACTTAAAAAAAATGTCGTCAAAATTTTCGATTTCTTTTTGAAAATCCGCCCCCCCTCGAGAAAATCCTAGATCCGCCCCTGAACAGTCTTATCGTTTTTGAGATCATGCGCACACGTTATTGTACAGTTGCGTTGCGGCTTTTGACAAAGCTGTCAATGTAATTTTAACTAAAAATTATGTAGCGAAACTGAATATAAAGTACAGTAAAATCTGAAGCACATAGCTCCGAACTAAACTCAATTATGAAAGTGCAGTAGGGAACCCTTAAAATGAGTTCAATTCTTAGTTTTGAAAACGTGGTTATTTGCCAATATGCTCAACCAGACGATCTACAAGGCTCCCACTGCAAAAAAAAAGATTTACTCAAACTATCAACTTTAAAACATATTCATATGTAAACAATCTATCTGATTTTTCCAATTTTTTAAAACCATTTGAGAGCCTACAATGAAAAAAGTTTAGCAAAATCCTTAAGAACTAGTTATCCTGGGTTAAAAAGTCACTGCCCTGTTCAACTCTTTGTGGAGAAATGAATTCACGAATCGAATGAGCCCAGGTCGAGATTGTTGTCTTATGATCAGACCGTTGCGACCAAATTTTGGTGTTTCCAGACTGCCGCGACCGAAAATGGACTTTTTCAGACCGTCGCATCCAAAATTGGAATTTCCAGACTTTGCGGACTAAGGCAATGTGTCCGCGACCGGCGCAATCGGAGGAAAGTTAACCGCGACCGGCGCGACCAAAGAAATGTTAACGCGACCGGCGCAGCCGAAGGAAAGTTATGCGGCGGTCAAAAAAATAGTCGCGGCGGTCAAAAAATTAGTCGCGGCGGGCAACATATTAGTCGAGGCGGTCAAAAAAACTAGTCGTAGCAGTCGGAAGTTGAGTCCCGGCCTGGTCAAAAAATTTGTCGATGTGGTCTACAAATTAGTCGCTGCGGTCGAAAATTAGCCCCGGCATGGTTAGAAAATTGGTCGCGGCGGTCAAAAATTACTTGCGGCATGATAAGAAAATGGTCCTAACCGGCGCGATCAAAAAAAATAACCGCGATCGGTCAAAAATATATATGGGCATGTTGCGGAAAAAGCTAATTGACCTGTTTATTCTTTGTCGTATCAGATGGCCAAAACGATAAAATATTGGCAAAAAGAAACAGTTATACTTACTATCAGCGCCACGACGGTCGAATTAAAGTAAATGTTTTCCATTCTCAAATTTTGTTTCACAATTTTCTACACTGAAACTTTCTGATTACAAAATATTTTTATCTAGTGTTCTACAGAGACCGCTTGCCGTTCATCGGCATTTTGGCCCTACAAGCGCCAGGCGGTGGCATCTTTCACGATGGAGGGGCCGAATGCTTCTAATTTCATTCACTTTTTTTCAACCAATCAGAAGTGAGCATATAAAAATTTCAAAGAAATCGTGATAATCAAAGAGAGAGAGCAAAAAAATACAGGCCATTAAAATTGATAATAACCACTTAACAAATAGTCAGATAAATGAAATTTCAAATATCGCGAAGTTGTAGTCGGGTACAACGAAAAACCTACAACCAACTTTTGAAAAATAAAACTAAAATATATATTTTTTATATCTGCAGGACTTGTACATATGAGAAAACAGGAAGAAATTTGTTTGCCCCTAATTTTTATCATAACAAAATTTCAATAACTAGGACGTTTGGTGCCGCCTGCACCTCTTAGGAATGCATGCAAACAATGGACAGCATGTCCTGATACAATGGGATGACCAAATTAATTTCCCGAGCACTCCCAGAACACTATAAAGACCACTTTTTGATCAAAAATTTTGCGCCGCAGGCAAGTATTGAAAAAAAACAGGTAAAAAACATCTTTGCGCATTTGTTGGAAACTTTTGACCAAAAAATTGCGTTTTTTCATCACGCGCACTCCTTCAAAGTTAGTATATAATGGCGCCAAAGCACCGTAAGAAAAAAATTAGGGTTGGTCGGCCTGAAATGGATGTCATTTGACCCTATCAACAAGCAAAGTGTCCCCCTTTGGTATTATTTTATGACATCCATTTTAGACCGAACAGTCCTAAATTTTTAGTAAGGCGCCTTAGGCGCCAATATATACTAATTTTGAAGACGAGCGCAATTTTTTGGTCCAAATTTTTCAAAAAGTGCCAAAAACCGTTTTTTTACCCGTTTTTTTTAAATATGCCTGCGGCTCTAAAAATTGTTTGGGTCAAAATAAGGTCTTTATAGAGTTCTGGGAATGGTCTGGAAATTAATTTGGTCTTGAAACATAGAAAAATAAAAACTTACTTTCTTTCTGGCTCATGTTGATCTGTAACTGTTGAGTAAGTTCAAAACTGATGATTTTGCTTAAAAACAACCATATAAGCAGCGCTTAAAACAAACTGCAATAAAAATCAGTAAATCGATGCTTCAATTATCACACCCCCTCGAGAGCTCAGTAAATAAACTTTTTGAACCTCTCGTCTTGAATTTGACTATTTTTAGAATGAGCAATGCGGCTTTACTCTCTTCGACTTACAAGCAGGTGTGACTTTTTCGTTGTCTGGTAAACTTTTTCAACTACACTGCTGCAAAAACCTTTAAAACTGAAAACGATAAAGGTGCGCAGAAATGAAAAAGGGCGTGCAGTACAGACTTCGAAAGTCCGGTTGTTATAGGTAAAACTGCTGCGAAGAAACTGAAACCGAGATAAACTACAAATGGTAAGTTGTTATTGCACTAGACTATGAATAATTTCTTCAGTCTACTCCAGAATATTTCAATTAGCTGCAATCGGAGTTTGCAGGGAATTTAATTTGAGGGTTCAATTTAAACACAGCATAGCGTACCATTTAAAGATTAAGTCTATTCAGCTCAAAGTTATTTGCACTTGTGTTTGCGAGTTACACCGAACTTCATGAGTGTATTGGTATTACGGTTCCCTTGAAGAATTTGGATCAAAATAAAATTAGAAGCGTGGCTGTTCAAACCAGCGGCTTCCCATGGAGGTTTAAGTGTTTATAGCTAGCTGAGTTAAACAGTTAGTAATGGTAAGAATTGGTACATTTGCTGTAAAATCGAAGTTTTGGACCAATTTAGCGGTAAACTGATAAGGAAATAAAACGTGGCTTGGTCTTAAAGGTAGGTCTCTAAACTTAAATTGTAGAAAAATCGAAGTTTGCACTAAAGCTTTTCGGAAATTGTATAAATTTGAAAACCACAATCTTGTGTTCCAAGAATGTAAGCTGTTTATAAATAACTTCCTAAATAAATATTTCATAGGAGTTGGTTTCAGCACCTTTAAGGCATGGGTTTTTGACTACAGAGTTTTGTGAAAACAAAACATTTTTATCTAAAACTGGCCAAAAGTTCCCGATTTCCCTCTATCTAACACAAAAAAGCCGAAAAAATGATTAAGTACAATTGAATTTAGCAATAACGCTCCCTGAAAATGATTTCTGATCAATAAATGTCAGTTCTTTTGTTTACACTGCTATATAAGAAATTGATGGGCGAGTAAATTTAAAGTGATATGTTTTATAAAGAACAAAAGTATTCAGTGAAAAAGCATTGCGCAAAATAAGGGGCATAAAAATAAAAGAAAAGGCATTATATCGCATCCTTTTTTGTCTCAACTGATAAATTGTTTTTAAACCTATTTCGCTACTATTTGTGTGCGTATGATACAGACAGACAATAAAAATATTTAGCTATAAAAATGTCATCGCAGCTTCTATTCTGTCCAGCAGTCATGTCGTACTTGATTCAAGTCATATACTTAAAAAATCAAAAGTATATAAAAGTTTATTTTTGTGTGGTTCAATCCAAGTTAATTTGCAGTATTCAAAGTAATTCAACTACTGTGATTTAGATGTTCCAATGACATATATTCTGGACCCAACAATTCAACAATTGAACTCTTTGAAGACATGTCTATGACCGGAACTGTAACTCTGAATGCAAATAATTACCCTAATCTTCATCAACAGCAACAATAGACATTTATGATCAAATTCTTAAACATCACAATTACAAAAGTTTGGCCTAGTCTTGATTGGAAATTAGCCAAATACCATTTAACTCAGTTTCGATAATCTTAAGACAATCGTAGATGCGTGCATTTGTGTTCGAGAAAGTTCAACAACTTTTTCACAGTTTTGTCACCGAATCCATTTGTTCCGAACATCATCGAGTTGAAGGAAGACTATGAGTGTTTTTACTGCCGTATGAACAGGATATATGTTTTGCGATATATGCATGCGTTTTTTATGGGCTGGAAAATGTCGCTTCGAGCTAGCAAAGAATACACATCATGATGTGATGTGATGTGGCCTCGAAGGACTGACTTTTCGACGCGGATGATTTAGCATCACTGTCCAGCACTTGCAAGCCGTTCTCAGTTTCAAATTTCTCCCAAGGCCAGGGCAATGTTTTTTGGAAAACATAAAAAAAAAATCTATTTTATGCAGTTTTTGTTCCGATCGTATCCCATTAGTGTTATGGGAAATAATCTATATTAATGGAGCATATTGGCAAAAAATCTTAAGCGTTATAATCAACTTCCACGACCCATTCAACCAGAACGGAATTTAAGAGGTTTCTAATCGATTACTTTTAGTCTTGAAAAACCCATTATAATTTATTTTTGGTTTTCAACATAATCGATTTTTTTGTTCATAACATCCCTGAAAAACGGATCGCTTTGTAAATGCGAACTGTTTACTCTGTGCTTTTTTCAGCAAAGTAGAACACATTGAAACCTGTTCATCACAGTGTATCGAACCCCCCCCCCCCCCATAAACAGTGGGAGGGGGGTTTGTGGGTTAAACATGTGAGGCTGAGGGGGGATAAAGATTGTATGCGACAGGGCAGCACAAAAAAGCACAGTTAAAAAGGTCAGCACAAACTGAGAAATTAAGTTGTACGAGAAAAAATGTCGAGGGAGAAAAGTCTAAATAATATCTCTTTTGCTCTTTTCTAATTAAGATGGTGTTAAGCAACTCTCAAATTTAGTATACTTCACACTGTGTTTGACAATTTCAGACAAAATTTCGAAAAACGTGATCATAATCCATTATAATCAATTAAAATAGATGTTATTGATTTGATTAAAAAAGAATAAATTCCGTTTTAAATCGATCATAATTGAATACTTTTGGTTTTAATAGAGACACCGATAAAGAAAATCCAATATAAGCAATTATTATCCACGAAACTCCTATGCGGGTACCCCAATCAAGGGGCGGCGGAAATATTCGCGTCTGGCGTTTTTTTTGCGATGCGTTTTGACTACCTCGAAGAATTATGCTGTCTTTCCAAAGTATGAGGTCAACTATTTGGTGTTTTTTTTTCAAACCCTTTCCAAACCCTTTCAAAACCCGATTCTAAATCATTTTCAAAATTTTGTTTGATTTAGACTGATTTCAAAAATTGTCTCATTTCTGTCTGCTTTCGGTCCCTTATTACTAAACTTCAAAAAATCAAAAACTTGAAAAAAAAATTTTTTTTGAAAATTTTCAACTTTTTCTTGTTTTTTCTAATTATTTTTGGACTGTTTCAAAATAGCCATGGTTGGAAAAAATATGCCAATAACACAGCAGCTGATTTTTGTTTTCAGAAATTATAATTCAGGTTTCAGATTCTTTTGCTTTTTTTTCGGCGACCATTCCTGCGCAAAATGAGTGTAGACTGGCGGTAAGGCCCTTTTGGAATTTTTCGAGTCATTCAGCCTAAGAATTGATATAGCAAACTGTCAAAAAAGGCTCTTAAAAAATTTGGCGCCCAGAAATGAGACTATTGTTTGTTTCCAAAAACTATCTGGAGGCGCAATAAGGAAGAAGCCAATTCTCTGTCCAAAAGACAATAATCGAGGAGTGTCCAAAACAAGAGTGTCTTTTCAACACGGGACATAACAGTAATTCTAGAAATGCGCCTAACAGCTCCTAAGCCAATATTCTCATCGTAGTTGAATGTTTCTAAAAACAGCAAGTACCAATAGTTACTATATTTTTTTGACCCCAAAAAATTGGAAAAAGTACTTTGTCACTCAGCCTTTTCACACTTTTTTAGACAATATGTCAAAAGTTTTTTCTTGTTGTTTTAATGAGGCTATTTGCTACCCCGTTTCTTACATATAATACTATAATTTTTTATTTCGGCAAAAACGCAAAACAAAATCAAGGTTAGATGGTTGCTGCGGCAATATTGGAAGTTCGATCGACCATAATTAACAGTCAAACATGAATCTAAAAACCGAATTAAAATCTAACAATTTGATACTCGTTCGTAAGGTTGGTAGTTTATTTTTCTCAAAAGGAGAGGGTGTAAAACGTAGATTGAATGAAACAAACGATGGATTGATTAGTGACAGTCAAAAACATCTTTCAAATTTTGCTGGGAAAAAACACAACCAAGAGAAACTGCTCATTCTAACTCAATCAAAAAGCAGAACTGATTTTTTTGTCGAAACCGAGAATAATTTTTAAAATTTGAAAATCTTGGTTGAGTCAGGACCTAAATTGACGTTAATTTGTAGAAGTACATAGTTTTGCGTGGAAAAATTTTGGTCAAAAGAGAAATAGCCCAACCAAATACAATTTTTTTGCACTTCCTAATTAAATTCAGAGTTGCCTTGTTTGGACATTTCAGCGTAAAGTTGCATTGGGAAACTTTAATAGGTAAAAATTTAAACTGCTGTGGACTGAAGTTCACTATTGTAATTTGATACAGAGCACTAAATTCCAGGCACCAATGATTTCTTCTGCTGCATAGAGCAAAATCTGCTGCTGCGTACAGATAATTCTGCTTTTTGATCTATAAAAAATTTCATTATTAATGCGTTTACTTATAAAATAGTTTATATTTATTTATATTTATTAGTTTAAAGATATATTTTTTTGCTTTGCAATTTGAAATTCCTGAATAGATGATTTTGAGGAAGCAAAATAGTAAATAAATAGAGTCGCGGATAGATGGAGAAGGTAAAATTCTTTTGATAATGGCCTCTATTACCTCCCAAGATATCAGCCCGCTACGGCCACGGGAACCTCAAAAAGTGTGTTTTTTAGAAATTCAACTGAAAATTCATTAAGTTTGACAAGATAAACAGAATTAGGAAAGACTTGATTGGGCGAGAGAATACAAATATGTTAAAATAGAATCTTTGTTAAAATTGTTGCAATTGTTTTTCAGTCTTTCATTCAATACCGAGGCTTAAGGCCTAAATTGCGATTTAGTCTTTAGAACAATTTTCCTAAGTGAAAGACTCAAATTGAGTCCAAAAAATTGGACTCAAATGAATTACAACGTGCTGTTATTTTTCCGATTCTAATTAGTACTTTGAAAGATTACATTAATTATGCGCCAAATCTACACAGGTTAAACTGGTATATAGGGCAGATTAGTATAGGGTAGATTAGTATAGGGTAGATTAGTATAGGGTAGATTAGTATAGGGTAGTTTGGTATATGGTAGATTGGTATGTAGGGTATAATGGCATAGGGTATAATGGTATGGGGTAGTTTGGAATAGGGTAGATTCGAATAGCTGTCAAACATATGAGCAAGTTCGTTGTCTAGGAATTCCTCGAATTCTTTTGACTAAGGCCTTTTCAGTAGCAATTCAGATTAAAAAATTCTGAATTGAAAAAAAGGGCGTTAAATTTTTCCAAAAATTTTGAAGAAAACTTTTGATTTTCGTTTGCTTTGAGCATCTCTGTCCTCGACGAGACCTCAAACCTAACACTACGTGAAACACCGAATACCACTAGCAATATCTGAAACCATAGAAAATAACCAATACCATCTCGTTTACTTTGTTGCATGATGGCGTTTGGACCTTTTTTGGGCCTTGTCTGGAAACACATGGAATTCGATTTTTAACAACCTCACTGAACCATAGCAATGTCTAACCTTTAGTCCCGCAAGTTGATGCTTGTCGCACAGAATTGGTTTCCTTCCGATTAAGTGAGATTGATTAATAATAGGAACTCCACCTTAAGCGTATCCTCGAGGAGATCAAGTTCCGATTATGCAACCGGATCCGCATGGTTTGAAAAAATGACCCCCACACTGTGGCAATAGCCTTTAGAACAGCATCGAGCTGAGTCAATAAGATACTGATTTTTTCAGCAAATGATTTTTTTTGTCGAAGTTTAAATTGCTGCTTATAAATAAACTCTATGAGAATATCTTCTTCGAAGTTATCTGCTGCAGGTGGTACAGCATGGAATAACGAAATTGCATGAAGTTGTATGTGATTAAAATGTTTAATTTTGCTCTCTGTTGTAATTTGGGGAAGCGATTAAACGGATTCTATTCGGCTCCAACGCAATCATGTTGAACTAGAGCAGTTCGTCAAAACTAGTAGAACTTCGGAACACTTTGTCAAAACTTAGGTAGAGTCACCTGCTGATTGATAGTCCGAGTCTTGTTGGTAAACACTGACTTAATTTAAGAAGAAATGTAAATGCAAGCGAAATATGTTTAAGAAGGCTTGATATCTATTTGCA